GGACAGCCCTGATATGGAAATGTTGTACAGGTTGCTCTTCCAGAGGGTTAAAGGGAGCTTCCAGGCTTGCCCAGCACAGCGCTCTGGTGCGGGGCCAAGAGCCAGGATGTGGTGGCCAGTGTGGGGGGCCAGTGGCCACACTCACCCCATGCCAGGGCAGCAACTTCCCCTCCACTGAGCCTTGCCTGTCCTCTCCTCTCCTGCTGCTTCTCCTTCCCCTGCCCTCAGGTGTCGGGGTTATGTTTTTGCAGCTCTCTGTTATCCAGCTACCTAACTCTTTCCTTTCCAGGTTCTTCTGGTTCTTTTAACCTCCCAAATTCTGGGGACATGTTCATGAACATGCAGAGTCTGAATGGGGATTCTTACCAGGGGTCCCAAGTCGGAGCCAATGTGCAGTCACAGGTAGGAGAAATGCCCCCAGCAGGGCCTTTCTGGCAGGGTAGGGTTTGGGCTAAAAATTCCACCTTACTCTGGCTCTATTAACTGGTCTGGGCCTCGCTGCAGAGTGGAGGCTGCATATTTCTGGATGTGGCCTATTCTTACCCCGGCATTGAATTTCACAAATATTAAGGAAAGAATGATTTTTTCCTGATTGAAATTTTAAGCTTTGTGAATGCATTCGGCTCTGGCTTGAGCTCATGGAATGGGACTGGGTGCATCTGACTTCCATGGACACTGTAAATCCAGTGAAATTTTCTTTCTTTTTTTCCTTTCTTCCCTCCTCTCCCTGCCCTTTAAAAAAAAACCCAACTCTTCCATCTCTCTTTCATTTATTGGACAAACTTTTATTTATTAATTCATTCATCTATTTCTGTATTTACTTAAATGTCAGAACGCCTCTGACTGAGCTATTACAATACACCTCATTGCCAGCCACTGTTGCAGCCCTCTCAGAAGGGCTGGCTCCGTGGTTCCTGTGCTGTGTACACACCATCATCTCCTCCACACACGCCAGCACGCACAGGCGGGTGAATATTCCCAGCACTTTGCTACAGACACTTGGGAAGGAGCTGCGGGCCGTGGTGCTGGGAGGAAGTTGTGTTTGGTGCTGAGAGCAGCAGAGATGTATGGGCTCCACCGGGCACGGATTGGTTGAAATTCTGCCAGTCAGTCTTGATTGATAAATTTGCCTTTCATAGAAGATGCTAAACCCTTTTGGCTCACATAATTCAAAATGTTGCCTATTGTAAGTGATGATGTTTTAATAGATTTGGAATGATGAATCCTGTCTTCCCTCACTTTAAGGTGGATACCCTGCGTCATGTTATCAATCAGACGGGAGGATACAATGATGGCTTGGGAGGAAATTCACTGTACAGTCCACATAATTTAAATGTGAGTACCCGGGGGAACAGTGGTTTGGAGAGCCATAAGCGCAGTGGCAGGTAAATGCAGTCATTAATACCTGTATTAATTGCTCTTGCAAAAGTGTTGTTTAATATCACATCTTTGGGGATGAACCACAGAGCAGCCCTTGGTGCAGCTGTAAGGCTTGTTAGTGTAAGAAGAGAGACATTCCAGATCTGTGACTATAAATGGCTTGAATTTTCATTGGTTTCAGCCCTATGAGTTAGAAGGTAACAGGCTCTGAGAGGCTCCAGTGGCTCAGGCAGGGAGCTGTGCTGGGCTGTGCTGCTTGTGCCAGGCGCCGGCTCTGACGGACGTTGATGCACCTTCGGCCATTTCACGGTGCCCATTTCTCCTGTGTGTGAGAGGTACCTTTGGCCTTGTTACTCCAAACGGCAGCGAGCAGTCAGCCTGGCTAACAGATGCCAGTAAATTGAGGGATTATGGGCTTGATGGTGATAGGTGCTAAATGTCCTCCCGCTGGCCGTAAGCGATGGGATGTGACAGTGCCCGGGCTGGGCAGGCGTGCCCGCGGCTGTGCTGGGCGCCAGGATAAATCAGTGTGGAGATGTGTTCCTCCTTCCTTCTTTCCTTCCCTCCCTCCTTCCCTCCCTCCTTCCCTTCCTTCCTTCCTTCCTTCCTTCGGCTGGGAGCGGGGAAGGAGCACCACGCGGCAGCGGCGAGGCTGCACGGCACAGCTCATCCCTCATCCCTGGCTTGTTTCTCCCACTTACAGCTGCAACAATTAGTGCTTTATATTTTTTTTAATGTTTCGCATGTGCTTGAGAGGTGATTTTTCTTTGTTTTCCTTCATACTCATGGACTGTAAAATTCCTGTAGAGAATTCCCAGTCTAGTGACCCTCTCCCCCATCACAGGGTTCACCCCAGTGGTTCCCAGCTGTGATTTGGGGAGCGGGTGCTGAGCAGCCCAGAAACCCACAGAGAAGGGGAATGGGGAGACCCAGGGTGAGCTGCTGCAGCCACGGGGAGGTTTTCCCCCCGTTTTGAGTTGCCACTTGCCATGAGAGTAAATATTAATGATTTAAAATGTGATTGAAGATGTTCAATTGTAAGGGGAAAAAAGTACCATTAAATACTCAAATCTTTTACATTTGAAATGTCAAATCTTTCTTTTTGGATTTATAAATAACTCATAATAACCCACAACAAACCATATAAAAAGCCTTTTAGTTGCATTTCTCCTTTTTCATTTAAGTGTTTTGAAATGCTTCAGAGAATTTGCGATATCCTTATCAACATGATAAAATATGAAACTGTGATTGCCTGCAGCATTTTACAGACATGAATTCCATCTTCACTGATGAGGCCTGATAAGGCGCTGTTGTATAATACAGTGCATAATCTCAAACCACCAGAGTAAGGATTAATTTATTTGAAAAAAAGAATGCTTGCTGACAACCTCTCTTCCAGCTGCCAAGCTGAGTAAAAATATTGTACATTTGTTGTTTATAAATTTGGATAAAAGAGGAATGATGTTTACTTCAGATGGAATATCTTTAGACTCGTATCTGCACAAGAGTTTTTCTTTCTCTAAGTAGACCCTCGTATCTTTACAAAATAAAACCTCGCGGTGGAGCAGGGTCTGTGCGCGGTGTGTCCGAGCAGCGGGCGGCTGTCGGCGGGTGCAGCCCGGGGTGCAGCGGCTCGGTGCTGCCGTGTCACCCGAGGGAAAGCCGAGCCGCTGGGCTTGTGAGGATGAGGCTGTTCCATCTGCAGAGGAGATCCTTGCTGCTCTCCGCGGTGCAGCGCTCCGTGATGGGTGAGCGGGGCCGGGCCGCTGCGGGCTGCCCGGGGCGGCGGCCGGGGCGCCCCGCCGCGCCCTGCGCACCTCCCCGGTGTGCCCCGGGGCTGGCCGAGCCCGGAGCGCATTTCCCTGCGGGGCCGGTGTGCCCCACAGGGATTTCCCTGCCGGGGCCGAGCCCCACAGCGATTTCCCTGCCGGGGCCGAGCCCCACAGCGATTTCCCTGCCGGGGCCGAGCCCCACAGCGATTTCCCTGCCCGCCCAGCCCGTCCCTGCCGGGGCCGGGCCGCCGTGGCCGCCGTGGCGGGCGCTGCGCTGAGGCGTCCCCGTCACTTCCACTCAGCGTCCCCCAACTCACGAGCCCCGCGCCTCCCTCTTCTTGACTGACATAAAAATATGTAGCGACAAGCTGTCTGCCACAGCCGAAATCCGATCAGACATTGATTCCAGCAATTGCCTCGATTGGCCGAGACATAAGGCAAATTTGTGCGTGCGCTGCTCGCGCCGAGGCGGGCCTGAGGCGGCTCGGAGCGGGCCGGAGCGGGGCCGCCGTGCCGAGAATCCCAAACCCGATCCTCTCTGCCCTTCCCCTGCAGCTGGGGACGTGGGCAGGGAACCAGCCGGGGCAGCCCCGCCGTGGGCCCTGCCGGGGGAAAGGCCATTCCCAACCTGGGGCAGTGAGGGGACACGCGGGGTTAAACACGGATTGCCCCAGGCTTGTCTCTCCGGGGAAACGGCTGAAGGAAAGAGCCGCTGAAGGGATGTTCCTCATTAAAACAGGGATGATCTCTGCAGAAATCCCGCAGTCCGGCACCTGGCCGAAGGGCTCCTGCCTGCCCTGCTGGTGCACGGCAGTGCGGGACAATCCCCTTCCCGAGCGATGTAATTAATACGCGCAATGGTATCAATTGACTTGTTTTTGCCTTTGCAGGCTAATGGAGGCTGGCAGGACGCAACCACTCCATCTTCTGTGACTTCCCCTACAGAAGGGCCGGGAAGTGTGCACTCGGATACCTCTAACTAATCTCCTAGCAACACTTTTTCCCTGAGCTGAGATGCCTTGATTAGCGCATTCAGAGTTGCAGGAGAAAAAGGAAAGAGTTTTTTGTAGCCAACCACCTACAGCTTTACTGTAAAACCTTGTCTTATTAGAAAACTTGGTAAATCTGTTTTTTAAAGGTATCATAATCATTTGTATTTATACTTAAAACACACGATGTTAAAAAGCACTTTATCCAATTAGGCCAAGTTTTAGCATTGTTTATAGCCCTGTAACTATTTTATCATAATTTATTATCAGCAGTTTTAATGATGTTGGTCTAACAGTTGCCAATTACTTGGCCTTAAGGGTAAAAGTACAGGACAAGCTTAACCTCAGTAGCAAGAGCAGACACAAAGAACCGCCTCACCCAAATTTAATTGTGTGCATATTTCCATGGAAAGTCGACAGGAATCACAGACTTTGATTGTGTTTCATCTTTTCATATCTCTCACAGAGCTGGAATAAAAAGAGCTGTTCAGTTATTTCGGTTAACAATGGTCGTGTTTAAGAATCCTTATTCGTCACGTTTTTGTTGAGATCTATTGTCTTACAAATTAGATTGGAAACCAGGAGCATCTTTTCTTGCTAAAGCCCCCCCGGAGGCCGAGTCTCCCCTCGAATCCCGACAGGACACAGGTTGCTCTTGGGAGATGACGACTCTTGCTGCTGGTCTCTGTGCACGCCACCACCCGGGGTTTTACAGTACGAGCTGGGTGCTACCCACGCCTGCCAAGGGCTGGTGCCTCTGCTTGGCAGCAAACCACAAACAAAGGAAAAGGAAAGGAAAGAGCACCGTGATATGGAGTGTTGTACATAGTGTAGCAAAAGAGTATTTATACATCTCACCAATCAAACACAGCTTTATTACCTCATGCGAACTCATACAAACCAATAGACTTTCAACATGTTCTGTAGCTTAGAGTGCTCACTTACTACCTCTGAACGATACTCACGCTGTAGTTTGTCTCTTTCTTATCTTTTGGCATCTTGTAATTAACTCTTTGTTTCCCCACGAAATGTAATGTACATTGTAATCTCCTACAAATCAGGGTTGCCTTGGCAACTGCTAAAGAAGCGGAAGTGGAAACATGGGGTCTTAGGTTGGACACAAAACAGTGCAACTGTTGTAAATACTGAGAAGCATTTTGAATGTTCTTCATCTTGTTACTAATACACGCAAAAACCAACAACTAATTGTAATGCATACAGACTTCAGTATTCAGTACTGTACATCCCCCTGGATTGCAGGGGCCCTTTCTCTCTCTTTTGTATTGTATGCGATTCTGAAACTGATTGAGTCATGAAAATAATTTGTGGCAGTGATTCTAATGTATTAAACCGTTTCGTGTTACTTTCTAACTGGATTACACCCTGGATTGAAAAGTCTTCCTCGTGGTAGTTATATGTAGTTTCAAACATGAATAAACTTTTTGCTTTCATGATCAAATGTTGACGTAATTTCTTCCTGCTCAGTTCAAGTCAGCCTGAGGAGATGTGTCGGTCTCCAGAGGAGCGAGCCGGCATGGAGCAGGAGCTGAGCATCTCTTTAAACACCAGCACGTCCTTGTGCCCTCTTGCCAGGAGAGAATTGGAAATCCTGGGAGAGGCACATCCTGGGCAAAGGCTTCCACCTGCCAGCGCCTGCCTCCGCTGCTACTCTGGTCTGCCTGGGAGCCACAAATCAAGTGGAGGTAAAGGAAGGGGTCAGGCCTTTAGATGAGTTTAAAAACCATCATCATATTCACTCTTAATTACCATTTTTATTTAACATTAACGTTGGAGATATAGCCTCAGCTAGCAAGTCTAATGCAATTATAAAAATATTTTTCTTTATTAAAAAACTTTTTTGGAAGGACGTATATATATATAAATGCTAATTTTAAGTCTTTTTAATAAAGTAAAGGTCAATAACAGGTAATAGCCTATTTACCATATCTCAAGGAAATTGACTCACAGGAAATCAAATTAACGTTAATCACTTGCAGCAAATGGTCTTTGATAAATATAACTACTCCCTCCTTGGGTTAGTGCAGCTAGGCAGGAGGAGGCCGAGCGCTCACCAGCACCAGCCCCTGCCAGGCTCTCAGGAGCTGCTGGTCCATCACCTTCCCTTCCCTTCAGCTCTTCAAACCTTCAGGTGTTGGTCTGGGGGCTGGACAACTCTTTGCATGTTTCAGTGGCTTGTGGTTCAGCTTTTCTCAACAATTGTTTTATCAGGGTATTTTGTAAAATACCTTTGCTCTCCCACTCTCCCCTGGCCGTGGCAACACTGCACCCCATGCTGTCATGCACCAGTGACTGCTGCTGCTCCGTTCACAGGGCAGACTCACCTCCATCAGGTTTGGAATTGAACAGTGCTGCTTCTTCCACAGGTGGTGCATTCAAATAAACAAGTAAATAGCTAGACATGCACTGCAAAGCCTTTGTTAGCAGCTAACGGGAGCTGGGGCAGGTGGGGACTGTGGACTGCCAAAGACTTCTGCATGCTGAGGACAAAGCACCCAACAATTTGCATTTGCTAATGGAGCTCCCCAAGTCCACACGCTCAGTGTTCGTGCTACAGCTCAGTGGAAATGGTATTTTATATTTTAAATGTAAAGTGTGTCAGCAGAGGCGTAGTAGGCAGCGTAATGAACACTCAGACGTCCCTCATCTTGATCACATCTCTGCTGGCCACAGGCAAGGACCTGTCACACACTGAGGAGGTTCATAGGAAGGCCATCAACAACCTTTGGGCCGCCCTTGCGTGCCCCACGCCCGCTGGGCATCATTAGCTGCTGCTTTGCAGCATTAAGGCTTTGGGTCCCTTTGAATTACAAGTGCAATTTGGCTTTTCCTTACGTTGGAGAGCAGCCACGTGGTTCCACGGCAAATAATAAACATCTTATCCTTGAGGCCTGATCACGCATCAGGGAGGTTTACTGCCAGCACCAGTACTAGGATCAAGCTGCTGATGGTATATTGTGTTTCACCCGGTAGCTACACGCTGAAGGGCCCTCGGAGCCTCCAGGAACAGCGTCTCACGCGAGGGGAGGAGACCCTCAGCCCTCCCACCCTGCCAGCTCAGCAGCACCATCCTGATTCCCTGCGCCCACCTTTGAGCTTTGGCACACAAGAGCCCTGCAGCCGGAGCCCACCAGCCATGGGAGGTGCCAGCCCTCAGACCCCGTGTGGAGCACAGCAGGACCAAGCAGGATTTGCAGCAGGTCCCAGGATTTGCCATCTCCTGTGCTCAGCACTGACCTGACTGAGGCATCCATCAGTGGGACAGGAGAGACCCACCCTGCTCCCCTGGGCATGGCTTGACAGCCACTTCTGGGACCAGCCCCAGCTCCGTCTGACCTGCTGTGCCGTGGGGACCGTGGGACCGTGGGACCGTGGCACGGCCGCTGCTGCGGGGTGTCCTGCAGGAGGAGCCTTGAGGAGCCCTGCAGCTGGGGAGACACGGTGCCTCTGGTTTGTGAGCAGCCGTGGCAGAGCCCCAGAGCCCCTGGAGAACAGCAAACCTCCACTGCTGGCAGCAGGGCAGGCGGCGAGCTCCCGCTGTGCCCAGCTCCCCGTGTACCTGGGCTTGGAGGCCACGAGGGGTCCTGAGCCCAGGAAGGGAAGAGCTGGGGAGCCTCTGGGGCATGGCAGGATTTGTGCCCCGTGGGGCTGGGTTGGTGGGGCAGTTCTGCTGGCTTGGCACCACCAGTGTGAGGCTGAGCAGTGCCTGAGATCCTGCAGCAGTGTCCTGGCCACACGCGAGCCGAGGGCAATGCCACTGCCAGCCTCTGTGCCGTGCATTTCCAATGTGATAAAAGTAACTGTGAGTTACTGAAGATGTTTCCAGTTTGTGTTAATAAAATACATCTTTTTTAAAGAATGGAATTCTTCAAAGATTGGCAAATTTTATTTTATTTCATTAGCTTTAATGTCACTGCCATATGGACTGTGAAGAAAAGTGAACCATTAGATCAGAGGGACTGAGTTATCAGTGTGACACAGAAAGCTCTGATACAATTGTTAAGGATAAGCCCTGGAGTGATTTATTGCCTGCATTGTATTAGTCACAGAGGAGTTATGATATGCTCCCCATTCCTGTATCATATTAGGATTTTATTAGTCTAATATGACATGGTAATATAATATATGATTAGAATTCCCATCCAGTGATCCTTTCCTTGGTTGCAGGGGCTGGAGAAGGTTTTGTGTGCATCAGGTGCTGGGCCATCATGCCCAGGGAGGATGAGGGACGCCTGGGATGGCTCAGTAGCTGAACCAGTCTCCAGGCTTTCCCAGGTGGGCCATGGGGCCCCTCACCTTCCGCAGGCACTCCCGGCCATCTGTGTGCCACCCAACCCATCTGTGTGCCACCCAGCGCGTTTCCCCTGAGTTACAAAGCCGCTGGCATTTCCTGCAGCCGGGCCAGCGGAAGGATGGAGCTGGCGCTGGATCCTCGCTGAGCCGAGCCGCAGGCTGGGCTGCGCCAGCAGTACCTGGGGCACCGTCCCTGCCCCGTGAGCGCCGGCAGGGCTGTGCCAGGCTCCGCAGTGCCAGCAGAGCCCGGCTCAGCGCGGGGCCGTTTGCACGGGGCTCGGGCTCGGCCCCCAGGCGCTAATTGCTGTGCCTCATCAGCCTCATGAGCGTGCCCCTGCTCCGCACCTCTCCTCTCGGCACCTGCCCTCTGGAGCCCAGCTCACCCACGGAACCCTGCAGACACTTTCCTCCGGAGCGTGCCCGTGGCTGTGCCCGTGGCTGTGCCCGCTCCGCCGGGAGCGGCTCCGGCAGACGCCGCTCGCTGCCTCCTGCTCGCCTCCAGCAGCGGCTGCAGGAGGAGGTTCAGGCATGTCAGAGCGCTGCTAGGTGCTACATCCCCAAATCTATATCAAAGCCTATTTGATCATCTTCCTGTCATTGATATAATAAAAAGGATTAATTTATTGGAGACTGCCAAAACCCTCATGTGGCAACGAATTTAAGGATCGTGTTTATACAGGCTAATTAAACCCAATTACTTCCATTCCTCTCCGCGGTGCTAACGCGGGTGCTGAGGGGTGCCTAGAGCCCCTCGGTGATCCCCTGTTTCTGGGGTGGGTGGGGACCCAGGGGTGCCCTCGATGAGCACATCTCCGGATCTCCGGGCCAGGGACCCCCGTGGGGGAAGGGACCCTCTTCCTCCTCCTCCTCCTCCTTCTCCTCCTCCTCCTCCTCCTCCTCCTCCCAGCCCTCGCCCCGCTCCGCTCGCTGGGATGCACCTCGGGGCAGGGGAATGTGGCACTCGCCATCCCTGGCCTCGGGGGAGCCTTCGGGACTGCAGGCGGGGCCACTGCCCGTGGTGGGAGATCACCTATTAACGCCTGCTATTCCTGTAATAAAAGGTTGCATTTTTGTGGTAAAATTCAGCATAAAGAGCACGCGTCATTAAGTATGGAAATCCAGAATTTTATTAGCAATCTGCTAGATCTGAACTGACGCCAATTAAACAAAAAAGATATCATTTATAAAAAGGCAGAGTTCAAGTTGTATTAAATATGAAATGCAATTTTCTGCTGGTTGTGATTTATTACCATTGGTACATTGTTCAAAGAAGCATGTTATATTTCAATAGAGAAATATTGTTTATTCATTAATATTTTAAAACTTGCTTATTGCTGTGTATGACTCTCCTGCAGAATGAAACTTATGATTTAAAACATGAATTAATAAACACATTTGAAAGTGTTAGACAATATCATAACTGCTCATTTTTCATTTTACTGAGAGCATATTAAACTTTTATAATTCTGTACTATTATTTTCCAAATAAAGGTATGGGCTCTAAATTGCTAATTTCAGGTACAGATGAGAGGAAGCAATAACAGATGTTGGGAATCAGTCACTATGTCCTGCTAATGCAGCTCAATACTTTTGTTCTCACATTATTCACAAATCTCCCGTGCAGCACCACGGCCCCCTCAGAGAGCCTGGGGTGCCCCAAGTGCCTCTCCTGGTGGGACAGGAGGGTTCCAGAGGCAGCAGCCTGGAGAGCACAGCCAGGTTCCAGGCGTGCTGGGCCAGGGAGGATGGGGAGGGCCCCAGGTACGCCGGAGCCGCAGGGCTGCGCCGGCTCCGAACGCCAGGAAACGTTTGATAGAGGCTGACATCCTAAATGAGGCCGAAAATATTTTATACAAAATGTGATAAAGCAGTAATGATCCCAGAGGCCTCAGGTTATCTTGGTGATTACCTGCACCCACCACTTGAATCAGCAGCATTAAGGGGTCCAGACCCGAGACGCAGATCCCTCGGAACTCATTAGTCCTGAGTACTTTATACAGACTCGCCTCTCAGCTGCTTGATTCAAACTAACCTTTTTTGTATCTTAAAATCTCTGCTGCCACAGCCTTGCTGTATTACCATAACAATAACCGGTATTTCAATTTTAAGAACTCATTTTTCCTCAAATAGAAAGTGCCAATCAATTTA